CCAGATGTATTTTTTCTTGACCACCAATTATTTTCTGACAAGTTATTTCCTTTTGCACTATCGGTTAGCCTTGCCTGATTCTTCTAAAATATTTTCACTGTTAGTCATGTGTTTTTGTCATCAATACTCTTGGCACAAATTATATAATGAGGAATATAAGAATTTTCGATTCGTTCAATAAGAGTTATACTCACAATTTATTAATAGTGCTTAAGGAAAGGGTGCATACATATATGGTAAATTGGGTCTTACGAAAAAAGTGAAAAAAAGATGTTATTGTTGAGGTTAGTAGTCGCCGCTGCTGGTGTTGTTGTCTCTGGATACGCCAGTTGCTGGTGTCTCTGGCAGCTCCAGTTGTTGCTGTGTCTGGATACTCCAGTTGCTGTTGGCTCTGGCTGCTCCAGTTGTTGCTGTCTCTGGATACTCCAGTTGTTGTTGTTTCTCGATACTCCAGTTGTAGGTGTCTCTCGGAACTTCAGTTGTTTTTGGCTTTTAATTTATTTATAATTAGTTAATTATCGTATGTTCGAATATTCGTTTGGGCGCCAATTAAGAGGTTTTGTATTTGTTGTCTAGGACTAAAGTTTATTTATTCGACTCGCTGGCTAGCGTGGTCGATGGATTTTACAACTATCAACGTGATTTACGTGAGTTGAGAAGACTTTTATTGCTAGCTTGCGCAGTGATGACCTGCGCTTATGATATCCAAAAATCGACTAATAAGTATACAGCATTGAAGCTCGATCTACGTCCGAGAACTAAGTACAGGAATATTCTTATTTCTAAAGCTCGCCCTATTACTACACAAGAACTGTTTTTTTTTACGTTAACTTGTGATTGTGTTAACTTATACGTCTATATCAACGGTCGGCAGCGTCCTATTAAGTGAGCATACGGAATTGTTCTGCCCATCCTCTTCCTCTCACGTATACCGTAGAACAGCGGTCTGCACACACACTCTGATCATCTGCCCAGTGCAATTTACTCATTCAAATATTGGTCTATATTAAAATATTTTAATGCCAATCCATTTCATCAAAAAAACACTATTTTTCTCTTGCAAATGCGTCTTTACAACACTGAAAAAACGTGTTTGATAAAGATTTTTGAGTAAGTCTGGTCCCACACTTTTTCGATAAACAAGCCGTGCTGCCTGACGCATTTCGATTATTCGGTCTTTCCGTTTTAGAACTTGGCCGTGTGAAGATCGTTTTCTCCTGAACATATTTTATTCAATGTTTCAACCAAGCCCAGAGATTGAACGAAACAAAATCGTGAAAAATATCAGATATCAACAGCCTTTTATAAGGCTTTCTTTTACCAGTAGGTTCCTGTTGATTAAAGGAAGTAAGTTTTACTATTATTCCGTGGAAAAACCCACTTCTTATAAAATTATACGTTTTAAAAGAAAATTCTTAAAAGTCGAGTTTACTCCTTTACGTGGCTTACGGCCCGGGGAAGTTTCTGCCCAGATTTTCGTCAGCATCTTGAAAAATCCTAGAAGTCGAGTTCCTCCTTCTGATGTTTACAGATTTCCTGGTCATCAGTTTTCAACATTCACCTCTGCTGAAAGTGCACCACTTTGTGATACATTCTAGTTTAACCAACATAATTTAAACACAACTCAGTTCAAGTTCATATCAACTAAATTCCTATACTTAATTTTAAATAAATTTCTATATCGCTAAATTAATTAAAATATAAATATTTAATAAGCACTTAACCTAAATTTCTCAAACCCTATTTTAATTAAACAAATTATTATGCCATAGGAACAATAGGTGGGTAAGAATTTCTCAACTGCGTATATGAAATTTTAGATTTTCTTCAAACTCGGGTACCTCGTAGAGTTTGGCTTGGTTATCATCTGTGATTTTTTTAAATTTTTATACCCGTTACTCGTAGAGTAAAAGGGTATATTAGATTCGTGCAAAAGTATGTAACAGGTAGAAGGAAGCGTATCCGACCCTATAAACTATATATATATTCTTGATCAGGATCACCAGCCGAGTCGATCTAGCCATGTCCGTCTGTCCGTCTGTCCGTCTGTCCGTCTGTCTGTCCGTCTGTCTGTCTGTATGAACGCTGAGATCTCAGAAACTACAAAAGCTAGAAGGTTGAGATTTCCCACACATATTCTTTGGCTTCCTACGCAGCGCAAGTTTATTTTAGCCGAGCGCCACGCCCCTTCTAACGCCCACAATCGCCCACTAATGATTTTAAAATGGGTCCTGCGCCCACATCTTTAAAGATTTCCGAAAAGTAAAAATGCAATTTTGTTGTGTATATTTATTCCTATCGAAATGTAGAAGACATTTTTGAAATCGGACCATTCATTAAAAAGTTATACGCAATCAAAATTTATATATCTATCTCCCTCGCACTCCCTTTAGCTGAGTTACGATTATTAGTCGGGATACCAACCCGAGTACAGCGTTCGCACTCCCTTTAGCTGAGTGACGGGTATTAGATAGTCGGGACACCAACCCGACTATAGCGTTCTCTCTTGTTTGGTGTCCATTTTGGGGGCGCTATGAATTTTTGAAATTAAGAACTTAAAAAATGTTATCAAACTTCAATTTAGTATATCTCGAGAACGGCTTAGAAGAACAACGTGCAACTTTACACGTTTTTAAATGTGTACTGGGGGAGTTAGAAAATAATTATTTTACATTTTTTGTTGTTTTATAAGTATGAATTTTAATTATTTGAAATTTTTTATCGCGCTTTTGAATGTCTTCTTCATCCCATAAAAGAAACTTAACCATCCAAAATTGTCCATTTTGGTTCCCTTTCATCATTTCCAAGAAATATAATTTGTTATGCGAATTTAGAAAAACCCTATTTATATTTCCAATGAGTACAATTCTTACGTGTTTAAGCTGAAAGTTTGCACAACTCAATTACTCACTGATATTATGCACATATATTAATATCCTAATTTTACCACCGTCCCTTCATATAGCTGCCATACAAATCGATGAATTTTCTTATTGTTAAGAAGGTAGGCTTTGAAAAAATTTTTTGTTTGGAAAGAATTGGAAATATAAATAGGGTTTTTCTACATTCGCATAAAAAATTATATATCTTGGAAATGCTGAAAGGGAACCAAAATGTTTCTTCGGGTAAATTAAGTTGGTTATGAGATGGACAATTTTGGATAGTTAAGTTTCTTTTATAGGATGAAGAAGACATTCAAAAGCGCGATAAAAAATTTCAAATAATTAAAATTCATACTTATTAAACAACAAAAAATGTAATATAATTATTTTCTAACTCCCCCAGTACACATTTAAAAACGTGTAAACTTGCACGTTGTTCTTCTAAGCCGTTCTCGAGATATACTAAATTGAAGTTTGATAACATTTTTTAAGTTCTTAACTTCAAAAATTCATAGCGCCCCCAAAATGGACACCAAAAAATTAAAAAAAATCACAGATGATAACCAAGCCAAACTCTACGAGGTACTCGAGTTTGAAGAAAATCTAAAATTTCATATGCGCAATTGAGAAATTCTTACCCAGGTTGAAAAATTTAAAAATTTTTTTTTTCAATTATAGAATATTTTGTTGTTTATTGATTTATGTTGCTATTCTAGTCAAGTTTTCATTCGTGAAATCTGCAAGGGTATTAAAACTTTGGCTTGCCGAAGTTATCTTCCGTCCTCGTTTATCTTGAAGAGTAATTAATTCCCTTTAAACTCAGTAAGTAATAGGGTTGTTAAAAAATCGATAGTGGTGGTCACTATCGATACTATCGATAGTATCAACAATTAAAAAAAATAAACAAATTGTTAAAAGGGAGGAACATTATGAAAAACAAATTATGGAAAATGTTTGGTTGACTCATAAAAATTAGGGGGAAAGAAACGGTCTAACTTTTACACCGTTTAAAGTGAAACCAAATTCGATGTTGAGCCTTAATAATTAAAATACGGTCGTATTCTTAAGTTTATACTTTAAAATACTTTTTTCCTTAAAATATACCAAAAGTTGCATGTAAAGTTCAATTATTTTTTTGGATCGATAGTATCGATTGTGGGTTCAAACCATCGATGTTTCCGAAATATTTAAACCACCGATAGTATCGATAATGCTATCGATTTTTTTACCAACCCTAGTAAGTATAAAAGTGCACTTTTGCGCACTTTAAAGATCACCATCAAAACATGAATAATTCCCGTATTTTTGTATGGTGAATGCCAGTTACGGTTATTAAATATTAATTATTTAAAAATGATGTTACATCATTGCTTCACTGAAATAACTTTGTTCTAAAGGTTTATAGTATTTTTGTAAGAAATTAAATTGGGAATAATTATTCAAATAAAAAAAGGCGGGACCACGCCTATTTTTCCTACAAAATTTCTTTTAAATTTTATATAGTAAAATCAAGAAACAAAACTGTTAAATATTGCGTCGTTTTTAAGATATTAATGCCACAAAAAGTAGTCAAATTGCCCATAGTGCATCGAGGGTAATTTTTTCACGGTTTTTGGGGCACAGGCCCCTCTTCTAGACTTAGGTAATAGTAAATTTAAATCCTAAGGATTTGCGGACCAAGGAGGAGTCTTCCTATTTTGTGCTTCTTCTCCTTGGTCCGCGAATTCTTAGGATTTAAATTAAAAAACTATAGGTAGCTATGTAATTTAAAAAAAAAGACGAAGCCAAATTTAATTTTCCAGTTTGCCTTTATGACGTCATGTAAGAATTCGAATGAATTCAAATAAATTCGTCTGAGTTCTTCGTGTTCTCATATACTCAATTCTTTTTCCATCACCTTTTCTGGTTCGACTGAGTTTAACGTCAGCACACTTATTAATTCAAGCCAGTTTCCCTAGACATTCCAACTCATTTAACTCATTTTGACCATTGCCAATTCGAATACGTATTTTTTGTTATTCATGCAGATGTCATGCAAATGTGAATTTCACATACCATTATCTCAGTTTTATATTACTCCACATAAACGTTTCTATTATATTACAAACTCTACTTATATATTTCTTAATCGTTCTTCTTTATTTAAAAATATGTTAAATCCTAAATTTATACGCATAAACATTCTAAGCAATATTTTAAAAATGTTAACATATATTCGATGTACGACATAGGAAAAGTTTTAAATAACAGTAAATGTATAGGTAGATGCTGCATAAGTGCTGTGGATGTGCAGTTGACAGGTGTAAAGTGTGCCATAGTACCTATGCCTGGAAAGTGCACTTTTCCAACTTACATGTATAATCACTACATATATGTGGTTGGCTTACGTTGAGTCTATTGATTCAAAACTATTTGTAGAATTTATAGCTTATAATTAAGTTTTTTACATCTTGCTTTACATGTTAACGACATCGTCTAAATTCTACCTAAGCAAAAGAAAGCAACCTACTCAGCCTGCTGAAATGCCCCTTCTTTGTTGTGCATTTATTCGTGGGCTTGATCCGAGCTAGAGTTCAGCTTAAAATCGCTTGAGAAGGAGTGGCTTGTTCCTGTCAGCAAACGCCGTGTTGATCCACTTAATGTCCGGCTTGGCAAAGCGAACAGCCTGCCCGTCTCCGCAGGAATTCTCACCCGCGAAAATTCCCTTAAGGCGCACGTTTGATCCACTTCCGCAGGCAAGTGCGCTACCCACGTCGAACTGGCAAGCGTCAAACTTGGTAGCACTACACACGCTACTGGTATCGGCACCGCACTCGCTGCGAACCAGCACCGAGGTGTCGGTCACGTGCATCAGAGCGCCTTCTTCGTGGACTGTTGGATAAAAATAGCGTTAGTGATATTGTGTCAAGAACCAGGAGTGTGTTCTTAATTGCAATCTTTTGTTAAAAAAACAATTTGAATTTACTCATTAATTTTAACATTTCAACAGTAAAATTGGTAAGTTAACTCAAAACATTTTTGTATAATCCTAAAATTTTTTCTTAAAGATATAAAATATTTGTTGTTGTTGTTGATTGGTAACAGCTAGAAGGAGCATTTCCGACCCTATAAAATATATATATTCTTGATCAGGGTCACGAGCCGAGTCGATCTAGCCTGTCCGACTGTCTGTCTGTCCGTCTGGATAAGCGCTGTGATCTCGGAAATTACAAAAACTACCCACACATATTCTTGGGCTTCCTACGCAGCGCATGTTTGTTCCAGCCGAGGACCACGCCCCTTCGAACGCCCACAATCGCCTTAGGGTCGTATTCTCGTCCATCCTGCAAAGTAAAATTTAGCCAATGGAAGGATAAATTTATCCAGGCGCGAAGTCGGTTTTCGTTTTTTTGTCCGTCACTAAAAACTCCAAATAAAAGGCGCACTAATTTGAGACTATGTAACACCCCACAACAGACGAATTAACTAACTGTCAAAAATTAGTCGAAAAACAAGGGAGAACGCTATAGTCGGGTTGGTGTCCCGGGAGGGAGAACGCTATAGTCGGGTTGTGGTCCCGACTATATTCGAACCTCAGCTACAGGGAGTGCGAGGGAGATAGATATATAAACAATATTGATTAATAACTTTTTAATTTGATTTGAAAAATGTTTTCTACATTTCGATCGGTATAAATATACACAACAAAATTGCATTTTTACTTCTCGGAAATCTTTAAAGATGTGGGCGCAAGACACATTTTAAAATCGTTAGTGGGCGATTGTGGGCGTTAGAGGGGCGTGGCGCTCGGCTAAAATAAACTTGCGCTGCGGAAGAAGCCCAAGAATGTGTGTGGGAAATCTCAACCTTCTAGCTTTTGTAGTTTCCGAGATCTCAGCGTTCATACAGACGGACAGACGGACATGGCTAGATCGACTCGGCTAGTGAGTTATTGGGCTTTAGATCTGTTCCAAAAAACGGTAAACAAAAATAGTAAAAGTTTTTCTCTGCATTCGCTAAGCTAACAAAAACAAGAAAGGAAGCTAGCTTCGGCCAGCCGAAGCTTATATACCCTTGCAGATCATTCCTATTAATTAACAAATCGCAAAAATGTTCAATTTTCTAATATTTCTCATTAATTTTCCCATCGTTCCTATGGCAGCTATATAATATAGTCGTCCGATTTTGATCAAATTAAAATTGAAATTCGGAAATATTTAAAAAGAGTCTTATCCTAGAGTAGAAGATAATACAATAAAAAGCAAAGAAGCTAGAATTTATTTCCTATTACTTTTCCATTAATTTTCCGATCGTTCCTATGGCAGCTATATGATATAGTAGTCCGATTTTTTAAATAATTATTTCGAAAATCAGAAATATTTAAAAAATAACATCCCTAACAGTAGAAGGTAATATTTCAAAAAACACCGAAGCTAGAATTTTTTAAAGTTTTTTTTTTCCGATCCTTCCTATGGGAGCTATAAGATATAGTTGTCCGATCCGGTCGGTTCCGACATATATACTACCTGCAATAGAAAGAAGACTTTTGCAAAAGTTTCGTCCTGATAGCTCAAAAACTGAGAGACTAGTTTGCGTAGATACAGACAGACGGACATGGCTAGATCGACTCGTCTTGTGATGCTGATCAAGAATATATATACTTTATGGGGTCGGAACCCAAAAAACACCCAAAAAACACCCAAAAAAAAATCATGAGTGTCAATTTAATAACTGTGGGTTAAAATGACACTGCCCCTAAAATCAAATTTTTGGGGTCAATTTGCACCCAAATGAGTGTCAAAAGTACACCGCGTTTTCAGAAAAATCGTATTTGATACTAAATAGTGTCATTTTAGTGACACAAGGGTCACATTGATAACAATAATTGTCATTTATCGATTTCTGAAGTTCGAACTTCTATTTTCGAAGTTGGAACTGTGCCTATCGCAAGGGAGACGCAGCTATAGACCTGTTACTGTTAGTTCGATAGTGAAGAAATTACGACGCGTTTTATGTAAAAGTTCTCTAAATAAGTATTAACTGTTTACATTCTGTTTACATTACATTCTTAATACGATAATTACACTAAGTGAAGTGTGCTAAAAATATGTACATGTGCAATTTGAATAAATCTTTTATAAATAACGTGCAATAGGAACATTATAATTACATATGTACATACAAAATTACATTGGTAAAACAAGACAGATTAAAAGGACATTAATAGGAATATATTTATTATTCTTATACAATTCCTATTCTTGGATTAGTTAAATTACCACAAATATGACTTGCACGTATGTATATATAGAACGCAGTGGTCCAAGGAAACACAAGGTTGCATTCGTGTGTTACATACATACGTATCTGCGCAAAAGTGTGCGATGCGTCGCTTTCGATTTTTGTGTGTTATTTGATTATTTTTATTTAAGAATTTGTTCGAATAAAATTGTTTTAGAATAAGTAAATATATTTATTAATAAATACTGAAATAAAAAATTTGATCGATTAATATTAAAAAAAATTCTAAAAATAAATCCATTGGTTATGATTTTTTGGGTGCGGAATGAAAATTTATTAGCGGTTCATTTTGATACCAAAAGTAAATTAAATTACTGCGAAAAAGTGTCAATTTAGCCTATTAATACTAAGAAAATGTTCCCGGGTAGTGGCTTTTTGACACCAAAAAGTGTCAACTTGGCCTAATATTTATACTGAGATAATGATACTGTGGCATTTTAACACCAAAAAGGGTCAAATTAATATTTTCGAAAATATTAAAGTTACACCAGAATTTAATGACGTTCGGATCAAAGATTTTTTTCCACTCAAAAGTGTCACATTGACACCTAAATAGGTACATATTGATGACTACTTTTTTTGGGTGTAGGCTAGCAGAACGGCGCAGTTACGGTGGGAATAAGTTGAGGTTAGTGCGGGGTTAAGTTGCGATTAAGGAGGTATTAGGTAGATTAGGGTAAAAGTAATGTAAAGAAAGGGTGAAGGTAAGAAAGGTAAGGTTCGTTTGGGTCAAGGTGACAAACAAGTTTAAATAAGAAAAAGTGAAGTTAAAGTAAGTAAGTATAGTAAGGAAACAGGTGGGACTAAAGTTAGGTTAGCTAAGAAAAGGAAAAACTGGTGTTAAGGTGGGTATAGACGAGGAAATAGTGAAAACAGCATTAAGGTGCTAATAAAGTGTGCAAAGGGTGGGAATAAAATAGGTGGGGTTAAGGTGAGGTAATATTAGGGTTAATGCGGTGTTAAGGTAAGGTATGTTATGGCTAGAAGAATATGGATAGAATATTAGTGCGCTTTAGGTGTGTTTACTGTTTAGCTAAAGCTAGGCGGGATTTTACTCGGTTATTAATTTAAATTTGGAAATATGAAAAAATCAAAAATAAATTCTTTGCTTATCGTAGCGGACAACGTTGCTTCGAATATTGCTAGTAACTTATAAGAAAACTGCCGCTTGCGTAGAATTTAAGAGCTTAACCCATGGCTGTATTGTCGTTTCCCTATAATAATGATTTTGGATTATATGGAATTAGTTACTTCTTTACTTTAGAAAGAATGTAAAACAATTTTTTGCAAGCAAATAGTGCCGTGCTTTTACACAAGCGAAACCCTTTAACAAATTTCTTATCAGTGTAATGTTCGAAGTAATTTCTTTGGTTTTGATATCTGCGCCGATAGGTTCGCACTTCAGACTATTTGACCATATCCCACAGAGTTTGAAGATAAATCGCTCGTAAATTAATTTTAAAATCAATTGGATGACTTTAACAATTTTGATTTATATTTAACTGTAAATTGAATCAGCTGTTTTCGAATGAAGAGTAGAACCAGATTGACAACGCTCGAATGTCTGGCAACACTTGCGCACAAATTTGAAACGGTCGAAGCACCGGGACAAAATTTGTCGCTACCTGCGATAACATAAGGACGAGTAAACCATTTTTGGCAGGCATATCAAAGTACGGACGAGAAAAAGACATTTAATCTTTTTTTAAAAGTATCTGGCACCCACATAAATGTAGAAGAAATTTTTCAAATCGGACCATTCGTTAAAAAGTTATGCGCGATTAAAGTTGTATATATTTTCATCTTACTCGCACTTCCTTTAGCTGAGTAACGGGTATTTGTTATGTATTCTTTTGTTATACCCTTGCAGAGGGTATTATAATTTCAGTCAGATGTTTGCAACGCAGTGAAGGAGACGTTTCCGACCACATAAAGTATATATAATCTTGATCAGCATCAATAGCCGAGTCCATCTGGCCATGTCCGTCTGTCCGTTTTTATGCGAACTAGTCCCTCAGTTTTAAAGCTATCGCGATGAAACTTTCCCAAAAGTCTTCTTTCTATTGCAGGTAGTACATATGTCGGAACGAGCATTTTAAGTAGGCATACCTGCAAGGGTATATAAACTTCGGCTGGCCGAAGTTAACTTCCTTTCTTGTCTTTATTATATATTTCGCATATTTGATGACTAGAATTTAACAAGAATTATGTTGATACAATAACTGCAACCGGCAATATACATATTTCAAAAGTTATTTGTAGTATAGACTACTTTACTATTTGGTGTTTTATGTATAAAACAGGTACAGGAGACTTTTTTCACCGCGGTACTCAGATGAGTTAAGAAAATGGAAAGGAAATCTCAAAAAATACCAGATTTAGCGGATGAATTCTTTAGCCCAAAAGAATAAAAAATTTGATCTTTGGCTATGTATGTGCAGAAGCGGTGTGCCAATAACAAGTTATAAATGGAAGGAAAACTTCAAAAACCATAGAAAAATTGCCTGTAGGAGGGCGGCAATACATATCGCCATGCCAACAGCAAATTCAAAGCTTGCGACCCAGATTGGCTCAACATTTTATAATATTCTAAAATTGGCGCCAAATAAAAATTGTTATTCCTAGCGCCGCGGCTAAAGGCGTCCATCGGAACGCCTTAGCTCATCTAAGTACCGCGTATGTTATATGACTTCTATAACTGAGATTTATGTTTCACTGAAAATGGAATCAGATCCATTCGAGTAAAGAATGGAACCAGACTGACAAAGCGAGAGAGTGTGGCAACGCTTGTAACTGCCTGCGCTAAAATAAGGACGAATAAACCATTCTTCATTTATCGCTCCAATAATTATGTTCGTTATAATTATAGGAATTTAATCATTTCTTGGGAGCACTTACTTGATAACGCTTGCTTTCCCCAGCCGGAGGTAATGCACTGCTCAGAAGCCTTTGGGTCCTCATCACTAATGCAAATGGGCTGAATGTGGGTGGCGAACTCCAAGCGCCTCTCGAGTCGAATGATGGCAATATCGTGAGTGTTGGTCGACGGATCGTATGCAGGGTGCACATCGATGCTTTTAACGCCAGTCAACTGGAATGGCAGTGGCTCGTTTGTGCTGCCCAGCTCCCACTCACCGGCCTTAACGCGAATGTCCGTCACCGGCAGCCTATGAAATTTTGATTTATTGAGCGTTAAAGTTAAGCAATGACTGATCACTTACCCATTTACGCAGCTGGCGGACGTTAAAATAAACTCGTCTCCAATAATGGCTCCCCCGCAAATAAGAGTCTTGCTCGACTCGCGCAGTATCATGGCCTGCCAGGAGATCTCAGCAAAGTTCGCGTCCAGATCCTTGACTCCCGTCGGCTTCGTCCTAGAAAAGAAAATTCTCTTTTTGATAGTTGCTCAGGGAATATAACTTGCTTTTCTACCTCTTGTTCCTTGTCGCACAAACTCCTGCCAAGTTTACGGGCCAAGGGTCAACATAGTTCGGGTCACGGCAGCACTTGCCGGGGGCGCCGTTTTCGTCCTGAAGGCAGTCGGTAAGAGGTACTCTGAATGCTGCCTCCAAGGGTGTCAACTCCACAGCTGACTCAGAGAGCACTCCGATGGCATTGCAGAAGTTCTCTGAGGTGCAAACGAGGGCGGAGGCGCACTTGGCAAAGTGTTTCGGCACATTTGGCTGGGATGAGGGAAAGATCTGGGGAGATAGCTGATCCTCGCCACGGTATATCGGCTTCTCGTTCGAGGGCTGCGGAACCCGGTCAGGCTCGAACTTCGGGATCTCGTTGGCGGAAATTGGTGGTAGGTACTCGTTGTTGGGACTGCGACTCGGTTGTGGTCGTGGCTGCGGCTTTTGGGTGGTGGGAGGCGGTAGGTATACTGGTCGCCGGGTCGTGTGTTCAGAACGGCGGGTTGTGGAAGGTGGCAGATACTCATTAGTAGGCCGAGGAGCTGGTACCATAGTCGTGGGCTGCGTTCGGTACGCAGGTGGTGTAGTGCGTACTGCGGGAATTGTAGGGTTCGTCGGCAGCGGGAAGGTCTTGTTTGGCAGGTTAAAGATATATCCATTTTCGGTCAAGGTGGTCGAAGGCATACGGCAGCAGACATCTGGCGCAGAGCAGCGAGTGGACTGTAAAGAGAAGCGAGTGCAGGTTAGCCAAACGGCTTTCTATAAGAGACAAAGTCCCACAAGTTATCGACAAGTGATTACTCTTGATACACCAGCTACAGCTACATGACTGGTCATCAGTTGGGAGGTCATATGCTGTAAGGGATGGGTCCACTCGCTGGCAATGCGCTACCAGGTCATTAAAACGCCCAGTGCGGGGTGCCAATGGTTTTTGCGTACATGGTTAATGTTAACCAAAAAATGTTGCAGTTTCGTGGTGCATTATACACTCCTTATGCGGACTGTGAAAACCGTCTCTCTGCTAATCCTCTCCGTTATATACTTCGGAACAGACCCGTTCAATCTAAACCTATACATACATCTTAATCTATATCACTATGGACGGCAGTCCATGTAGTGACGAAGCGCACCAGGAGAGTGTGCGAAGGCGACTACTATTATATAGCCGCAAAATTGAAAATCGGCAGTGATAGTCCGATCGTAATGAGTAATACACCAATCGAAAGGTATTGCAAAAACTTAAAGGATTGCATACCAAGACTTTAAGAAAATCAATTGGCTTGGGAGAGAGAGCGGTGAAAGTGAAAAATTGAAAATTTCGAAATTTGGAGCTGTTGGGGCCGGTGGGGATAAATGCCCCTTCGCAATGTTTTAGTTGTATTCCTCTTGAAAATACCCGTCGAATGAGGGATCATTTGTCAAAATCCGACTCTCCGTTCAAAAGTTATAGCCAAAATAAGATTTTCTTCTTCTTCCCAAAATGAAAATTAATTTCTGTTTGTCAGTTTGTCCACTTGTCCACTTGTCCACTTGTCCACTTGTCCAAAACATGTTTTTTAAGTTTTGAAAATTTTATATGACGTTCATCACATCGATATAAAAAACTTTTGTTCTACCACTTTTGGAAAAACTCGCTAGTTTAGCGGGAAAACAGCTATAAATAGCTAAAAATCGGAAAGCCGTAACTTCTATACTACTAAAGCTACAGACTTGTGCTGCATCTCGTTTGAAAGGTATTTTTAAATGCTATAAACGCCTTCTATATGCAATTTGTGTAAATGTAATAATTAAAAAAATATGAACAAAAGACAATTTTTTAAAACTTTTTTTTTAGCTTTTTTTATTTTTCTCAAAAACGGCTCTAACGATTTTCTTTAAAACCTTAAACTGTATAGCCCTTGAGATTCCTTAAATTTTGGTATACAACACATTACTGTAAAAAGTCACGTTTAAAAGTTATTTTTATACGAAAATAGCCACTTTTGCCAGCTCGAACAATTAACGCTCCCTGAGTATTGAATTTTGTGGGAGGGTATCCGAACTGTATTTTAGGGTCATGGAATCAGTAAATTTGCACTTAAGAGTTCCATATAGGAATCTTTTGTTCTACGACTTGTGGAAAAAGCCGCTACTTTAGCGGGAAAATAGCTAAAAATGGCTAAATTTCGTTAGTTTTTAAGTTCTACACTACTAAAGGTACAGACATGTGCTATACCTCGTTTAAAAGGTATTTTGAAATACTTCAACGCCTTTTTAACTTAATTCGTTAAAATACAATAGTTTAAGAATTATGATTTATGACCAATTTAAATTTAAATGTTTATATTAGCACCTATGAGAGCAAAAGTAAACAAACAAAAACTTCTGATATCAAATAAAAACACCTCTTAACGAGGTAAAAAACTAGTGACGATCGCACCTTCAACGTACAAAAGTTCTGATATCAACTTTTGTGACGAAAAATAATTTTAGATGCGACTAAATAAGTACGCTACCTAAAATTTATTCATTCGGCACGCTAAAACAGAAAAACATTCGTGTAGATATTAAATATTTGCTAAAGCGGGCCGAACGAGTAAATTTTAGGTAGCGTACTTATTTAGTCGCATCTAAAATTATTTTTCGTCACAAAAGTTGATATCAGAACTTTTGTACGTTGAAGGTGCGATCGTCACTAGTTTTTTACCTCGTTAAGAGGTGTTTTTATTTGATAATTGTGGACCAATAATACGGTCAGTAGCAAATTTCTCCCAGAACGGATTGACATAAAAATCTACCGCGTGTGAGGTACAAATTAGAACCCAAAGTGCCCCAAAATTCGATTTTTTTTTCCTTTTTTTATTATACCCGTTACTCGTAGAGTAAAAGGGTATACTAGATTCGTGCAAAAGTATGTAACAGCCAGAAGGAAGCGTTTCCGACCCCATAAAGTATATATATTCTTGATCAGGGTCACTAGCCGAGTCGATCTAGCCATGTCCGTCTGTCCGTCTGTCCGTCTGTCTGTCTGTCCGTCTGTCCGTCTGTATGAACGCTGAGATCTCAGAAACTACAAAAGCTAGAAGGTTGAGATTTCCCACACAAATTCTTTGGCTTCCTACGCAGCGCAAGTTTATTTTAGCCGAGCGCCACGCCCCCTCTAACGCCCACAATCGCCCACTAACGATTTTAAAATGGTCCTGCGCCCACATCTTTAACGATTTCCGAGAAGTATAAATGCAATTTTGTTCTGTATATTTATACCTATCGAAATGTTGAAGACATTTTTCAAATCGGACCATTCATTAAAAAGTTATACGCAATCAAAAATTATATATCTATCTCCCTCGCACTCCCTTTAGCTGAGTTACGATTATTAGTCGGGACACCAACCCGACACAGCGTTCGCACTCCATTTAGCTGAGTGACGGGTATTAGATAGTCGGGACAACAACACGACTATAGCGTTCTCTCTTGTTTTTTTGTTATAAATGTTATTAAAATGGTTTAAAAATGTGATGTTCATAATCTTATGGCATACCCGCAAATACCTGCATTTAAATTTTTTGCAATGCAGCCTCCTTAACCAAGTCCCCAATATTTCCACATTTTGCTGTGTCTATTGTGACGTTACGGCCTCCATATATGTATGTATTGCCGTCGCACTCTGCATTAAGTTGTAACCGTAAGTGTGACCGCGCAAATGAAAAAATACCACAGTCACACCACATTTAAAATGCGCGGCTAAAAAATCTAATTTCCTTTGGCCCTTTTAATACCCTTGCAGAGGGTATTATAATTTCAGTCAGATGTTTGCAACGCAGTGAAGGAGACGTTTCCGACCCCGTAAAGTATTTATATTCTTGATCAGCACCAATAGCCGAGTCTATCTAGCCATGTCCGTCTGTCCATTTCTATGCGAACTAGTCCCTCAGTTTTAAAGCTATCGCGATGAAACTTTCCCGAAAGTCTTCTTTCTATTGCAGGTAGTACATATGTCGGAGGGAGACGGATCGGACCACTATATCTTAAGGCTCCCATAGGAATATTCAAACCAATATAAGAAAATTCATTGTAACTTTGTAGGAAGTAGGCGTTTTGATTTCTGACAACTTAAAAACAAAATTTAAATAGGCACGCTGAATCTGGAATCCCTGGAACTGCACCGTGTGAGCATTAAACTATAGGTATTTACTTTATCTGCAAGGGTATATAAGCTTCGGCTGGCCGAAGCTAGCTTACTTTCTTGTTTTTAGGTAAACGTTAAATCTATATCAATATATGTCTTGATTAAAAAACGGTCAGTAGCAAATTCCACCCAGAACGGATTGACCTAAAAATCTAGAAAAATCACAGTAATTACTAAAATAATTAGGAGCCGCGTAAGGGGTACTTTTTAGAACAAAAAACGACCCCAAAGTGCCCCAAAATTCGATTTGTTTTTTTTTAATTCTTTCTTTTGCCATTTCTCTGTTATAAATGTTGTTAAAATGGTTTAAAAATGTGATGTTCATAATCTTATGGCATACCCACAAATAACTGCATTTAAATTTCTTGGAGATTCAGCATCCTTAACCAAGTCCCCAATATTTTAAAATTTGGCTAACCTGATGTGACGTCACGCGTCCCCATATGTTTGTATGTATGTTCTGCTGGCGCATGTATGTATGTACATATGTATGTCCTGCTGTCGCAATTTAAGTGTGACCGCGCAAGGGGAAAATGAAAATACCACAGCCAAAAAAAAAACGATTATATCGCAAATCTTTTCTTTTGCGCCTTTTTCTTAAGTAAACGTTAAATTTTAAATTTTTATATCAAAAAAATGCGTATTTTACACACACAGCCATTAGATACATATGTATATGCGTGTGTATGTTTGTGTGTGTGCATTGCAGCTGACTAAGGAATTGAGATTCGCTCAAATTCAAATTCAAGATAATACTGATATTCTTTTGCTAAAAGAATATTTCATTTACATTTCCACAACATACTTACACAAGACATTTTGTAACCGATTTTTGTGAACAAAAATTCAAATCGCATTGATAATATTAAAGGAACATTAAATATTCAAACCAATTGATTCTCTTGCTCTTTATTACACGTGCTCATATTGTTTAAACAAATTCAAATGTTCAAACAATTTGATTCACGGCTTCCCCGCCCACCTGCCTTCCCTATTATTAATATAATTCTAATCAAGGTGAAAAATTAATGTGAAAACAAAAATACTGTAACAAAATATCAATGATAAAATGCAGTAATTTGGAATTGCCTTTCTTGATGTCTTTTCTTAAATTAGTCAAATACATAAAGCAAGACATTGCTCCGCATATTTGTTTCCCTTATAATAGTTGTCTACTGTGGATACCTTCCAAAAACCCCCTGGTAGCAAATTCGCCAAGAGTATTTGGTTTGTAATAGTTTAAAAATTGCATCTTTAAAAAACAAAAAATAGAAATAGAAATTGTAGAACGAGGTAGCAAGGCCAATATCAACAGGATTTGTTTTAAGGGACCGATGAAATAACCCTGCTAATAATAAAAATGGTACATTTCCACAACAGACAGACAGACAGACAGACAGACAGACAGACAGACAGACAGACAGACAGACAGACAGACAGACAGACAGACAGACAGACAGACAGACAGACAGACCAGACAGACAGACAGACAGACAGACAGACAGACAGACAGACAGACAGACAGACAGACAGACAGACAGACAGACAGACA